GTGTTAGGATCAGGCCATTCAAAAGCAAACAGATATCATGCATCAGAACCTAACAGGACGCCAAAAAGGCATCTTTAAGACTTAGAACTGTAAACCATACAGTTTCACTCAGAATTTGAATTAAGATAGTATATGGATTAGTAACTATAGGATGGAGTAGAATTACAGCTTCTTTAGTAGCCCCCAAATCTTGGTCTAACCAATAGTTCCCATTTGGTTTTAGTACTGGAAGAATGGGAGTGTTGTGTGGGGACTGGCAATGGCCCAAAAGACCATCATGGAGGAATTTAGAAATTACAGGCCGGAGCCTCCAGTGGGACTCTAGCTTAACAGGATATTGTTATTTATGAGGATAGCTGTGTAGGTCTTTTAAGGAAATGATAGCAGACTGCCTCTCTTGGGGTTTTAGTATCCCAGACCCATGGATCTACCTCTGATAAAATTTCCAAAGGTATATCTCTAAATATATTGTCTTGTGAGCACAGTGCTAATGCTCCCAAAAAAAGAGATGGATATTTTGGTGACAGGTAAAAAGTTGTCCCTAAAGAGGCAAAACAAAAACAAAGCCAAAAACTCTTCCTAATAATGGGGTAGGACATTCTGGAAAAACTGGGAAAGTTTGAGTGAAAATTACTTCCCCAAATCTGTAAACTAAAGACACTGTAAAGCATTTGGCCTTAGGGATACTATCAACACAAGTTGGAACACAGGTCTTATTAGAAAGGGGCCCAGGGGATTTAAGGAAGTCAGATATTAATCCCCTAGTATCCAATTTAAAAATTAATAATTTCGGGGCTGGGGATTTAGCGCAGCGGCAAAGTGCCTGCCTGGCAAGCCCAAGGTCTTGAGTTCGGTTCCCGGTACCGGAGAAAAACCCAAAAAAAAAAAAAAAAAAAAGAAAAAAGAAAAATTAATAATTTCATCTGCCACATCAAGTTAGCCAGGGCTCCTACAGGGTGATGTCTACTTTGCTAAGAGGGGCTTTGAGCGATTTTGGGGACTTTCATTCTTCCAGGTCAGGCAAAATGGAAGCATTGGCCTTCCTGCCTTTGGAAGAGACAGCAGTCATGCTTTTATTGTTTTCCCTCTTTACAGAGGGGGCATATCCCAGAAGGGCCGAGCCTACTGCAGTCTTTTCATCCATGTCTAGGCCAGCGATGGTGAAGCTTTCAGAAACTAAGTACCCAAACTACAACTCCAGACACACTTATTTATCACGAAGTGCCAACACTGCAGTGAAACCTGAACACTGAGGTTTTAGTTTAGCAAAAACAGTTGTTATCTGATACTTGGCTGCTGGGGCAACTTAGCTCATGTGCCGACAGAGAGGGCTCTGCAGGCCCACTGTGGCAGTGCACGTCACAGGTTCACCGCCACTGGTCTAGGCTCTCCACGGCATAGCAGCCCTCTGATCTCATTCTACCTCGCTATATGTAGAGTTGGGGTCTTTCTGAGGAGGCAGGATTTCACTTTCTAGGGGTTTGAGGGCCCCTAGCCTGCTTCTGAAGATTTTGTGTGAATAGATGGGGTGGACTAGCCAAAAAAATATGTTTTCAGTAAAACTTGTCCTGCCTTGGAGTTGGGCTCAATATTAGTATATTTATGAAGGGTTTCAGTTAAGCACTCCAGAAATAAAGTAGGATTTTCTTCTCTGTCTAGGGTGATTCCCATAACCTTTTCATAAGTGACTGATGTATTCATGCATTTTCTTATCCCATCGATCAAACGAGCAATCACTTCATCACATTTCTTGCAGCCTGCATTTCCATCCCGGTACTGCTAACCAAGGATCCCTCTTGGGCGCTGCAGCTGTACCCACACCTTTGTCATTATTTCAGGTGTGCACTGTGCTGCTGCCCAGCATGGGCCTTTTCTTCAGGGTGCACCAAACAGAAAGCAGTGCACGAAGACCCTAAGTACAAGTCAGATCATAAGTTACCGTCAAAGTCTGAAACTCATCTATGAATCTGTCTCTGAGAACTGTCCCAATTTTGTTTACTTTACATCAAGCATGTACTCCTATGCCCCTTGCCCCGCTCCCCCTGAGACTCCTTGAAGCAAACACATATTACCTTTTGAATCATTTGGATGATTAAAAATTGCTGCTGCTTGTTATACCAGCAGAGCTGGATTCTTTTGGTAATGGAGGATAGGTAAGTTAATATGGAGGTAGGATGGGGAAGCGGCCCTGGGCGAGGACAGGGTAGAGGAAGCAGCTAAGCTAGGTTCTGAGCCCTCCTCCGGGGCCCCTGGAGGCTCTCCTGGATTTGTTCCTGGTGTCACAGAAATCTGGGGTGCTCTGCTTGAAGCACTCAAGAGCCCAACTTATAGAGAGCTTGGCTCTATCTTGACTGGTCCTATTGGCACATGGCACAACAGATTGTACAAGATCCCTGTAATTCTGGGTCTTGATACAGGATCATAAACACCAGGACATGTGGGATTTCTGTCCATTTTCCTTCCCTCTTACAGAATAAATCAAGCTGGAATATCATGTTAAAATTTAGGGTTCCATTCAGAGGCACGTCTCTCAACTTTCTAACTGGTACTGGGTAGGAAAGAAAAACGATTTTCTTTCTAAAATCCCAATTTTGCAAAATACAATCTAAAGATGGTATTACAGGGACAGATATTGGATTACCCATACTTTAGCAAAGTACCTTGTTTGTCTTCAGGATTTCTCTGTGTATTTCTGGAAAGAGATAAAAAGAAAAAAAAAAGAAACATATCAGACTCTGTTCAGGTCCCCAAGGTCAGGCTATGTAACTGCTCACCTCAAACGGGGCTCCTGCTGTGGCAGCCTAAACCGGGTCAGACCACATATGTAAGCTACCCAAACTGAGTGTGCAGCTTGCCCCACATGTTTTAGAGCCAGAACTGCGTGGGGTACATCTCCACCCTATTACCCTAGAGTCAGAACTACCTCGATGGCAGCTCTGCCCTGTTTTCTGTCACTAACTAGTCCAGCTATCCCTGCTAGTCACACGGGAACCTATTGCTCATGTTCAGAACGAGCGTCCTTGTTCCTGGCACGTAGCTGTTCCAACCTTTATTAACAGATCAGGAAAGCAGGAGAAGGAGTTGTACATAAGAGCTGGGATAAACATTTATACAAAGATCTTTATATTTAGGGACTGGCAATACACACAGGAACTTTTAGAGGGTTTGAAAAGTCCAGAGATGTCACTTAGCAACTATAGATCACATATCAGGGAAAACACGGAGGCCACATCATTCTCTTTCCTCTTCCTATGTGAGTTTTCTCACAGATAAAGCCTGAATGGGAAGGAAAAGCACTGGGGCTTTCTTAGGGGAGAGAGGTAGAAAATAAACCACTGGGATCCTTCTTGGTTTAACACGTTCCCCTTTGGCTTGAGCCTCCAGTGGTACCTGTGTGACTGTCCTACTCGGCAGATTGTACCATCAGATGAGACTGTCCCATACCACCTGATGGCACAGTCATGCATGTACCACTGCTGGTTCAGACCTGCCCAGCAGTGAGACATATGAATTACAGCCCTGTCACAAAAGCGTTAAGTCCACAGACTTCACCAGGTCCTGTGCATGTCAGTTATCACCTAAATGACCACCTGAGTCTATATGGCTTAGAACATGGTCCCACGCTCCCAGTTACCCAAACAGGGAGCTGTGGCAACATATAGACTGGGTTATGCCCTTCGGTTGTGGGAGGAGAGGGGAGAAGGGAAGGGAGGGGAAGGGAAGGGAAGGGAAGGGAAGGGAAGGGAAGGGAAGAGAAGAGAGAAGAGAAGAGAAGAGAAGAGAAGAGAAGAGAAGAGAAGAGAAGAGAAGAGAAGAGAAGAGAAAGAAGAGAAAGGATTAGAAGAAGAATTAAAGGACTCCCTCAGGCTAAGGTGTTTAGGACCCATAGGCGTGTATGCTTTTGCATATTGCTCCAGTGTGACCTGGAGACTGGTTCTCTCTGGTGTGTCTCAGGATTGGGGTTTCCCGTGACAGCTGCCTGAGAAACTTTGCTCAAGATGCTGGAAGGGACCTTATCCTTACCTTGTATCTTCCTGGGTGAGAAAGGTTTTCAGTCTTATCTAAGTCAGAGACAGGGCGTGGTGCTGACCTAAAGCACTACCTAATGACACAGCTACAGGTCCTGGGAGAGTCTCCTGACATCTCTTCCCATTTCTGATTAGGGAGAACAAGTACCTCTTGTCTTCAGTGCTTTTATGTATAAGCACTCATTTTCTAAGGGCTGGAGTCTCTAACTGCTGGGAGGAAGAA